CAAATGGGATCTCCAAAGGGCTCTGGCGATTTTCAGCAGCACAACAGCACCTCTGTGCTCTGACAAAACACTGGGGTCAGGAAGAGACAGGAGCAAAGTTCCCACCCACTCACACTGAAACCAGAATCAACTTCTAGTGCTTCATTTGAACGCTCCAGATTGCAACCACAATTACACCAGGGTGTGCACCTTGCTCCTACTGTCATAAATTCCACTCATGAGAGTAGCTCTTCTAACACCTTTTTGCTTTAAGCCAAAATCACGAGGATCAATATTTGCCAAATATTGGTACTCCTTTCTGCTATCATTTTCATTTTTCCTTTCAATTCCCTTAGCATTCTCAATTAACAGCAATTCGTTAACACTGCCTTAACCTCCCTTCAACTGCTTTTCTCAAGCACTGGTAAGAGTCAACTCCCTTCATTCCATCTTCACTGACAGTTGCTTTGCTTCCGAGTCTCAGTCCCCATTTTAAAACATTTATTGCTTAATCTTGGCTTGCAACTGCCATATGCTGCTTTCAAAGGAAATTAAGAAAATCTCTTTTCTTGACCATTCCAGTTCCTCATCAAACAGAGCCCTGGTACCACTTCATTTCTGCTCAAATGTGTTTAAACACACTGGCAGGACACAGAAATCATTGATAACACACACTATATACCATGCTAGCCTAAAAACAACAGCAGTAAAATGTAAATTATACACACATCTTTAATGTGCATTTGACTTAAAATGTAATTTATATTAACTCTTTCAAATTTAAGACTGTAATTCTTTCTGTGCTCTGTAACTTGGTAACAGCAAACAATTTCCTCTTCCTACAACATACAGTGGGAAAACATCAGAATCACATTCATTTGGGTATAAAAATTCCTAATAACCTGAGCTAGGAACATTGGAAGCACATTTTCTAAAGTGCTTTGAGGTTTTATGTTATAGAACAACACTATTTGCTATGTATTTTTCCCCCACCCGTTGAAGCTTAATGGAAAATTCACCATTCAGGAAAAACAAGCATAAGAGATTATTTATAGTATTAGCTCATAGTGCAGAATCATTTAATCTAATTGCCCCAAGGATAAAAAGTGTACTCCCATTTTCCATAATTACAAACTGTCTCGTGTTCAGCACTTTGACACACTTGAAAAGA